TGCAGCATGCTTAGTGAAATTTCCTACTTTCATTAACTTGAACTTAGTCGAAACTGTAGGTTTTTTTGTTGTATCTGTTATTTCTATTGGTTGAGCTACATATTTACTTTGGGACTACGGAACGGTATTCCGGGAGATCCCCCAGTACTGCATATTTACTTTGGTACTACGGAATGGTATTTCGGGAGACCCCCCAGCACTGCATATTTACTTTGGGACTATGGAATGGTATTCCGGGAGATCCCCCTGCACATTTACGTTTGGGACTACGGGATGGTATCCTGGAAGATCCCCTATTGTTATCATTGTGTTCTGAGCCGTTGTCTTTCAACTCTATTCCTGTTAGATTTCCGTATTTATTTTACTGTGATATTTCATTCGGTCTTATTTCACTATATTTATACCAGCAGGGCCCTGACCTGATCTCGTCACTACTCGATCGAGGTTAGGCTTGGCACTTAATGGGTACCGTGGTGGTGTACTCATGCCCTTTCCTGCACATGTTTTTCGTGTGCAGATCCAGGTTCATCTTACCAGCCTCATCACTAGTTGCAGTCATTGCTACTTATTGGAGACTTCAAGGTACATCTGCCCGCGCCCGCAGATCCTCGGAGTCCCCCTCTATCCCCCCTCCCCCCACCCCATGTTCATTTCTCCTTCTTTCTGTAGAAATGATATATAGAACAGTTAAGACTTCTTAGTAGCTTGTGACTTACGGTATTCCGAATTTTGGGAATTGTTTGGTACATTTCAAAGGTGATAATTATATATGTCGAGTGTTATTCAGTTGCTTATTAGATATTTATTACTGTTAGTAGTTAATGTTCATGCTTTTATTCCATTTCCGCAAAGTGTTAGGCTTACCTCGTCGTAGAGACTAGGTGCCGTTACGACAACTCACGGAGGGAGAAATTGGGTCGTGATAAAATTTATGTATGGTACAACAACATACAAATTAAAAATAAATTTTATACAATTAATTATATAATATACAACTTATTTATAACTTATCCACAACTTTCATACATCATTCTTATAAATACAACTACAATATCATACCATTTAAATACAATTTCCTTATAAATTTTACACAATATGTCTTCTGTATGTATTTTGTTAAAGATTTGTATATATTTTGTATGTAGTGTGTTCTTCTTCCTCTCTAAAATTTTAATCAAAATTTTCTCTTTTAATACAATTTTGATACATATCAACAACTTTTTGTAAAAAGATAGTATTTATAACTTAAATACAAATTTCATACAACGATTCATACATTATACAACTATTTTTAAATTTTTAAATAAAAAAATATATAACTGCAACAAAATACAACTTAATACAATTTAGGCAAAATAACCTCCAAGCCACTTAAACTTGTACTCATTTGTCAACCCGGTACAGAAACTTTGTGCTTTCCGATTTGAACACCCCAACTCAACTATTTGCACATCAATAGACACACTCAGTTGAGCGTGTTTCTCAGTCGCGATAACATAATTGACACGTCACTTAATTAGCCCCTTATAGTCTGACATGTGTAATTTGTGGGTCTTACTTTTTTAATAATCAATTTACCAAATGCTACTCAAAATACCCCATATTCAACGGGTTCTACCATCTCCACTGAAACCATATACCACCTCCTCTTCTTTTTTTCCCGATCTCCGATCCAGCATACCAACAGCAATACCGCTGCTAACACTGCCACCATCTTTCCTATGGGAAACCTACAATCCCTTTTCTAAACATCAAAACTAAAATCCAGAAATGAAAAACATGAAGAAGAAAGAAAAAATCTTAATAAAATTTGAAACCCAAATGCCAAGATAAAAGAAAAATCGCTTTTGCTCAAGTTTTCTCATCTTCAAATCTAGTCCTTTGTAAATCAGAAACAATGAGTCGATTTGACCGGGTCAATTTACCGGAAAATATTTTTGGCCGGAAAAGAATTGTAACGCTCATATCTATACTCTGATTGTTGGAAGATCTATTCTTTCTTAAAATTGGAAGGTGATTTCGGAGTAGCTTAATTAGTTATTTGCATCGTATTTGATGAAAAATAATCTCAATACTTGACTTATTGAGGAGAAAAGAGTGGGGAGATGAAGGGGGAAAGAACATGAAAGTTGGAAGAGAATTTTAATTAGGGAGAGGAAGATGAAAGGGAAATGGGGGATAAGGGGGGACGAGAATTCTGGAAAAGAAGAACAGAACGTGGGAAGGGGAGGTGGGGGATGGGAAGAACAGTGAAGGGAGAAGGGGACGAGTCACATGAATTTTGTTTTACTTTTTGTCTTATCTTTTCATTTTTAATTCTATTTATGTTTTAGTATTTTTTTTTTTTTTTTACATAAACAGATTGAATTTACGCGCCTAATTTGCGTGAATTACACACAGCATTGCCATATCACACATGATATTGCCACAAAAGCATACAACGGTCAAATGTATCTATTAATATGCAAATAGTTGAGTTGGGGTGGTCAAATGGGAAAGCACAAAGTTTCTGTACCGGGTATATAATTATAATACAACTTTAATACAATTTCGTAAGTATATTGTATGTCATGTCTTCTTCTTCTTCTTCGAATTTCAATATAAAATTCAGCCAAAATCAAGTCTGATCTTTACCAAACAAATAATGGTTTTTGATAATCCAAATTCGAATTCAAAGTTTCAAAGCTTTTTAGTGGTTGTCAATGATGGAGAGTCAAACACCTTCTAAATTTATTGATTGACAATTTCAATTTGAACACCAATTGTGGAACATGAAAGGAAAATGCTAAGTTAAAATTCTATGGAGTAAAATGATTGAAATCCATTGATAAATTCCATTAAAAATATATTCAACGTGAAAGGATAAAAAGTAGAGAACATCAAAGAAAGAAAAATTTGGGGAAGAACAAAGAATGAGAGAGAGAGAGAGAGAGAGAGAGAGAGAGAGAGAGAGAGAGAGAGAGAAAGAGCATGATAGAGACACGGAGAGAGAGCACAGGAGAGAGAAGAGGGATGGGAAATAACTGATTCCTTCTTCTAATATAAAAGGATACTTATTTAAAACTAATTTGTATATAATTGGTAAATTGTATATGACCATTTAATTAAGTTAAAACTTGATTAGGGATGGTAATAAAGTCCTGTTGCGGAAATCTAGTACTAATACGGATGCACTCAAGCCCAAATCCCTTGGTAGTTCATTTCATACTCTCACATTTCAATCGCTTTTTGGCCCGTCGAAAGTTCTTAGCCCGAATTGATTGAAGTAACACAAACCCCATACTTGTTCCTCCATTTCTTCTCCGGTGAAATCGACTCGTAAGTTGTAAGTTCCCCTCTTTCTCTCTCCAGAACTTTCCGAATTAACTTTTTAGCATGATAGAGATTTCCAATTTTATTTTCTTAGTTTTTGGTGATCATTTATAGGGTTTATGCCTGGTAGTAAAATCAGTTGTTGTTTGCTATTTTTTTTAGGATCTTTAAATTCTAAAACTCCAATTCTCTCTTTAGATTCTTTGATCTTAGCTATATCTGGGAGACAAAAGAGTATTCGTATTCTCAGTATATGTTTTCGAACTTAATGCCTATCGGGTATCTTTGGAGATGAAATCATGGTGCTCCCTCTGTAAAAAACCAACGGTTTTGGTTAGCCCAAAAGTATACCAGTTTGACAAACAATAAGGACTTTTAGTTCTCCAAGTCAAAGAAGGATGGATTTTGACTTTTAGCCCAAAGATATGGAACTGTTCTGGGACTTTAATTTGATACTTTTCGCATACATGTGGATTTTCCTGTTTGAGTTTCTGTCATCTAACTAGAGATTTCATCTTTGAAATGGACAGCAAAGCAAGGGCGGCTCCGTAAAATTGGTGGCCTAAAGCCAAACTTTAATAAGAGGCTTATACTTTTTTTATTAGTATGTATACACACATATATGCAAAAAAATTAATCTTGCCATTTTTTTCATACTTGTTTATAGCATATATTCTTAAATGACATAGTCTTTAACTTCACATAGTAATATTATTATTTATATTAGAAATTTTTTTTTAAATAAATGAGATATTAGACATGTATTTTCAATATGTTACCTCTGATATTGTTGTAGAAACTATATTTACTAATATGAAGATTTAAGTAGTTTAATTCAAAGTTTTAAAAATATTTTTACTGTTTAAGAGTTGAGATCTTTCTTTCTTTTTTACAATTTTTTTGTACTTTATTATTTTTCTACAAACATTAATATTGTCTAATATAAGTCTCACTTAAAATAAGGCAACAATGACAAGGGCATTAAAGGCAGCGAGTTTGTCATTCAGTTACCAAATGTGAATGAAGCTGGTTGAACAGTACGTTTATAGTGGGTCAGTAGTCTATAAATAATTGTTGATTGTCAATGAGGGGCAGCTTAACAAAACTGGTGGCCTAAACCAAAATATATTAAAAAGACCCTGAAACGTCTTTTCTAAAATTCATATAATATTGAGACACAAAAAAAACCTACATGACTTTGATATAGTGATGAGAGCACAACTCATGATGTATGAGTTAGGCGCGCGTCATATGGTATTGAATTCTTCCCTTAAGTGAAAATGGTAAAGGGTGAGCCCATTATTCATCATGTTTTTGAACCTTGCGACATTTGCCTCGGGGAGTTTTCTTAGTTAAAAAAGATGAGACACAAAAGAACTTGCTTTCTGGTATGTGGTTCAATCAAATGTGACCAAAAGAAATAGTTAATTTAGAGAATTGGAGTTAGAAATTAGAAAGTAAAATCGTAAAAACCATGAAAAAAGACTGTACATAAAGAAAGAAAAATAAAATTAATGAGAAGGTAAATATGTTATTTAATTTAGTGAGAAATTTTTTTTCCAATTAACTCACTCAATCTTACGTCTACCAAATGTTAAAAATTATTAAAATTTAAAATCTTTTATTAATAATTATATAAATATAAATTATAGAGTATATATTATATAATAATATAGTAGTACTTTTTATTTTTGAGGCCTTAATTATTTGGGGCCTAAGGCAAGCCCTAGAGCCGCCCTTGCAGCAAAGCATGGCAGAGCAAATCCTGAGCTTAGGAGTCCTCATAGATATTGTGGATGAGGAATGGATGCGAGATACTTTGCCTGAAGATGGTATTATCCTCTTTCACCTATTTAATTTAATACTATCAATCAATCAACTTTGCTTCAATCCCAAATTAATCGGAATCGGCTGCATCACTCTTATTGAAACTTGGAACTAGATCGGTGGTAAGTGCTTTGTCTCACTTCTGTTTGACAGCAAGATGCCAAGTCGTGCATCACACATGGAACTCTATGTTGAAGAGAGCAGTATAAACGATAAATAATTCACTTAATTATAAATTTTTTTCAATTCAGTTGTCCGTATAATATTTGATTATATTTCTAGTTATTATTCTTGAATTGCATTTTTAGTTTTTAGTTTTCTTCTTAATTTGCACTTTCCTTTATAAAATCCTGCAGAGTTATTGAGCTCCTTTTTTTTTTTCGCCTTTTAATATGAATCATCTGTTTCACTCTAGTAAGGTCCATTCATTCCAGTACTAAATAACTATCATATGTGGCAAATTAGGGATTCGTTTTATAATTTTCTGTCTCATACTTTCATTTTGCATTTATATTTTACCCCAACTACCTTAGAATTGATGCATAGTAGAATTTACCGTTGTTGCTTTTAATTGGTCTATTACTGCAGATCTCCCATTACCACCCGTACTACTTCCAAAGACTGACGACAATGAAGACTCAAGTAAGTATTTTTTTATTCATACACTTGGAAAAATATTGAACGTGGGAGTGATTTATCACTTAATCATTTGTTTAAAAGTGTATGTTGTTTATCGCCAAGGACTGTTAGAACAGAATGCTATTATATGGCCTCTACCATAGTGTCCTAGATAGGGACTACTTTTAACATACAAGTTCCTTGGTGTGGTTATGTCGGTTGTAGGCAGAAAGCTGAACTTTATATTCATCTTTGCAAGCCTGATTGCCAAACATTTCTAAAGTTTAATCTAGCCTCTGTTCGATCCACGATTGGTGTTTGCTGAAAGGTTTCCGTTCTCTGTCGTGTTGAACCCCTTATACCGTACATCACTTCATGATCTCATCATGTGGATTTGCTTATAAGCATTTGATGAGATGTAATGAGAAGAACTTGAAGGCTATAGTTAGGTTATTTCTGAAATGGGCTTCGGCACTAATGGGATCAGGAATATCTATACATGATCCAATTTTAATATTTCCTGGTTCACTCACATTTTGTTGAGTTATGATATCAGGAATATTACATATTAATGAGTTAACAGATCAGAATTACTATGTTTTCAATGTTGCTCATCCGAGGAATTCTTGCCATGTTTAATTTGTTGGTTATTTTCATGTTGGCTACTTCCTATCGGTTCTCATTTTTGGATGATTGATTTATATCCTTTTGCAGATCAAGAGGCTCAAAAAGTTGATGGGGATACATGGCATGACCTTGCATTGGGAAATCCATGACATTAACGATCAAGCTTGTGAATTGGATTTCCAAAGATTGTCAATTTGTCGTCATTTGTAAGTAAATTGCAAGTATTGCTAGTCATGTACTTGATTAGCATTGAACGTCGTATCAAAACTAATTTCAACTGATCGTTCTCTCGATATGTTTGTCAATGGTCATCTTTGGAGTGATCCACTTAGTAGTCCTGGCAATCTATGCTCTCTAGTGGGTAATAGATCCAGGAATGCTAGCATGTTAGTGGATGTTAAGGTCATTCCTCCTGATAGTTCATACCAAATTGACTGTCTTGTTGTATTTGTAATTTTACTATATATATGGCATAAATTTTACTATTTGGCAGTTTATATACGTAGAAACGAAACTCAGATGTATCAGAACTGTCAAGATATAAAAGATGCAACCTTCTGCATTTGCAACAGATCAATGGGATCCGAATTTGAGCTTTTGTCTAATATATTGAGATTCGCCATTGGAACCAAATTTCAACTAGAGACCAAGGAATAGTCCTTCCGCAGCAAGTGATCTAGTCTACCGTTTTGCTTTGACTTTACATTGGGGATTGTGAAGTAGGTATAATACTTGTTATGACGCGGTGTTAAGGTTAACTTGGGTATGATTCTTTCCACCAAAATTTAGCAGATGTGATGAATTCCTAGCTTGTTTTGTCTTTACTAAAAGTTGAACCTTATTTTCTTTTTATAATTTCTCCCACTTCATCGACTGCTCATGCACTCTTGGGTGCGGTAGTCCCTAACATAGGTATTAGCATCTAATCTGCCTGAGCTCTTGGCAGTACCCTTCGCAACTTTACTACTTCTAACAACGACAATAACCCAGTAAAATCCTACGGGTGAGGGGTCTGGGGAGGGTAGTGTGTACGCATACCTTACCCCTTCTCCGATGGTGTAGAGAGATTGTTTTCGGTAGACCCTCGGCACAAGAAAACGAAAAAGACGAAAAAAGACAATATATCAGTACCATCAACAGAAACCATAGAAAACTTTACTACTTCGAAATAGGTAAAATGGTCTCTGAGCCACTTAAACTTGTACCTATTTGTCAACCCGGTGCAAAAACTTTGGGTTTTCCCATTTAAACATCCCAACTCAACTATTTACACATCAATAGACACCTCCAATTAGGCGTGTTTCTCGGTCACGATGACATAATCGCCACGTCACTTAATCAGCCTTTTATAGTTTGACATGCGTAATTGGTGGGTCCTACCTTTTTTTAATAAACCAATTTAACAAATGCTCCTCAAAATACCCCATCCTCAACGGGTTCTACCATCTCCACTGCAACCATATACCACCTGCAGCTTCTCTTCTTTGTTTTCAGAACTCTGATTCGGCATTCCAGCAGCAATACCGCCGCTAACACTACCACCATCTTTCCCATTGGAAACCTACAATCACTTTTCTATACATCAAAACTAAAATCCAGAAACGAAAAACATGAAGAAGAAAGAAAAAAATCTTAATAAACTTCTGAAACCCAAATGCCAAGATAAAAGAAAAATCACTTCTGCTTCAAGTTTTCTCATCTTCAAAGTAGTTTCTAGTCCTCTGTAAAATCAGAAACAATGAGTCGATTTAACCGGGTGTCTATTAACGCACAAATAGTTGAGTTGGAATGTTCAAATGGGAAAATTCAAAAAGTTTATGTACCTGGTTGACAAATGGATACAAGTTTAAGTGGGTCGGAGGCCATTTTGCATTCTAAATAAGTTAAAATGTTAGTAAAAATTACACGGGGCGCCCTGTTTGGTCGCCCCCATTTAACCTATACCCATTTTTTTTTAAAGTTTTAACTTTTACCCACTTTTTAAACAACTTCAGCCCCCTTTCTCCTCCTCCTTCGTTTTCTTCTTTCTTCTTCTACAACGATGACTTAAACATTGCTCTCTTTGATTAATGAAGCTAAAGCAAATATACTGAGGACTTCCACTTGGATTATTATAACATTAAAAATCCCAAATCAAGAGACAATAAAAGTTCTTTGAAATTTCACTGTCTCCCTCTTGGGTTGCTTTTGAATGATTCTTCTTCTCTCCATTTTGAGTATCTCTTTTCTGTCAATTTTAAATTCCTATAGCTGATTTTATTTAATTACAGGCTCAATTAGCCAGTGTTGGACTTTCAAAAATCATAGCAGAACTTCGAAATATCACTGGTAAACCACAAACAGAGAAGAAAAAACATAACAAAATTGACTACTTCTCCACTCCTTTGCGTCGTTCCAAACGATCAAAAGGAGGTAATGAATCCAAGGTTGAGAAGAGCAAGGCTGCAGAGACTAATAAGCCGAAGAGGCCTACAACATGCTGAAGTTAATCAAATATAGAACAAAAACTTCAGCTCTAGAGCTGAAGTTCCCCAGTTACAAAGACAAAAACTTCAGCTCTAGAGCTGAAGTTCCCCAGTTACAAAACAAAAACTTTTCGCCAGTTACAAAACAAAAACTTCAGCTCTAGAGCTGAAGTTCGCCAGTTACAAAAACAAAAACTTCAGCTCTAGAGCTGAAGTTCCCCAGTTACAAAACAAAAACTTCAGCTCTAGAGCTGAAGTTCGCCAGTTACAAAAACAAAAACTTCAGCTCTAGAGCTGAAGTTCACCAGTTACAAAACAAAAACACAAAAACAAAAACTTCAGCTCTAGAGCTGAAGTTCGCGAGTTACAAAATAAAAACTTCAGCTCTAGAGCTGAAGTTCGCAAATTACAAAACAAAACTTCAACTCTAGAGCTGAACTTCTTGCCCGGCTACTAGAATGCTGAAGTTTTGCGTGATTGTCTTTGCTACTTCAACCCCGTATGCTGAAGTTATGCGAAAAAGCGGGTACGCTTGCAATTTTTTTTGCAAAGCGGGCACAAGTTAAAACGTGACACAAAAAGCGGGTATAGATACAAATGTCCCAAAATGTTAAATGTCTTTTTTTTTCATCTGGATGTGTCAAACAATTTTCAACTCAACAAATTATTTTAATCATCAAGGTATTCCAACTTTACTACCAAAAACATGAAAACTTTTTTAAATATATATTGAATATCTTTTAGAACTGAATAATGTAGAAACTACTAAAGATATTCTTTCAAGCTGAAAATCTAGATTAAAAAAATGTAGTAGTAACAGTTAGGAACTTAAAATTAGAGAAACGAAAATAAAGTAAAAAAAAATGCCAAAATTTCACGGTATAGCCAGTTTTCGGACTGGTCAATCAAAAATAGCTAGCGTTTACCAAGTCAATGAAAAATAGCCACCGTTTTGCTGCAATAGAGACCGGTCCAGCATAATATACTGGAGTTCGGTGCACTTGTGTATGAACTCCAGCATATTATGCTGGATCGGTATACTTTGCTGGCTCCAGTATAATATACTGGAGACTGGAGCACTGGTGCTCCAAACTCCAGTATATTATACTGGACCATTATACTTGCTGGAACTCCAGTATATTATGCTGGAGTTCTAGTGTATTTATGCTGGAACTCCATCATATTATGCTGGAGTTCCAGCATACTATCCTGGAACTCCAGTATAATATGCTGGAGTTCAAGTATACTTATGCTGGAACTCCAGCATAATATAACTGGTAGTACTTTCCGGGTTTTGGTAAACTGTAGTTTTCGCGTTCAGTANAATATACTGGAGTATTTTCCGGGTTTTGAACAGTGTTTTCGCTCAGATTTATCTTTACATAAAAGTGGCTAAATTTCGATTACTTTTGAAATTGGGCTATTTTTGAACGACCAATTGTAAATCTGGCTTTTTTTTAAAAAATCACCCAAAAAAATGCAACTAGATGACTAAAAGGAAAGATTTAGAAGCATAGGAAAGAAATGGGATTCTATCGACTTTCCATGATTTATACTACTATAAATTTGCATAATAACCACACAAATTCTTTCTTCAAGAGACTTGAACCTAAGATTTAATTGAGGTCTATACACTAAAATTGTTCATTTATATCCCCCGTTAAAAGTTCATGACAAATGTTCATAGTCGTTACCCCACTACCCAAAATGTCTCACATTAACCATAGAGTTCAATTATATGTACCAACAGTGTAAAAAATATTTTAACTTATTTTCACAGTATCAAATACTTGCACAAGCAGTCATTGAAGGCATATCTCATCATCTGCTGAACTTTGCCAACAAAACAAGCCTATGTTACCTTGATCTTTGGTGTAATCAGTTAGCCTTTCACAAATAATAGTTTCAATATACTAAAGACAAAAACAGGCTCATCCATTCTCAGGTAACCAATTGTTTTCTCTGTAACAAAGTTAGACTATCATTACTTGATGAAAGAATAGAATCAGTTAGTTAGACATCATAGCTTTATGCAAAACTTTTTCTTCTTTATTTTTTTTCCCTTTTGATTTTGTAATTACAAATATGGAAGGATATAAAAGGAGGCATCTGTGCTAAATTTATTTACACTAGGCTCCTTAGATATCCCATGCTGGAGACCCTTGTTACTAAAAGATGAAATATATTCCCTCCAACAGCATTTGGTAGGAAAGTTGTCCCTTCTTTCAATCCAAACGCATGATTTTACCACTGGGAAGCGGCCCCATTTCCAGCTTGCCATTGTCAAATACAGAGCCTTCACCCTCAATATCTTCAGCCCTTTCAAGTTCATCCAGTGTCCTCTTCGTATACACCGTAAAAACTACTGTTGTGATGATTGCTATGATGAAGGAACTTACATTATATACAATCTCAACTGGAGTCAGGTGGATGTTTCCGTATTGGACATCAGCAAATGTCTTTATTAGCCGACCACTACAAACAAATTGCAGGAAGAAAAAATTAATTGTACAAGGAATGACCATTTATTGATAGAAAGGGGTAGGGATAGGGATAGGCAGGGTTTTTACCTGTAGATGTATATAAAGGCTTCAGGAATCATTCCTGCTATTGATCCACATAAATAAGGCCAGAAACTCATGCTTGTAACTACTACTGCATAATTGAAGATTGTGTATGGGAATGGAGAAACCCTAAATAATGCAACCACACGAAATTGATGGAACCAACTTCCTTCTCCTGCCAATCTAACCAAGGTAGCCTGCCGAGGCCATCTCTTCAACCATTGCTGCACATGAGATCAAATATGCCATATGTAGGACAAGGAGGAAATGTAAATTGGCAAATGTTAAAATTGATGAATCAGTAGAGACTATATAAAACGTAACCAATCTTACATGAATTCTATCTCGGAAAAGCAAACCAATCAAGCATGGCAGGATCATCCCAATTGTTGTTCCAACCGTGATTATGACAAATCCGAGACCATATCCAAAGATCATTCCTGCGAGCCACATCGATGGTCCAGAAGGAAGTAGGACCACTGGAAAGAAAGCTAAAGAAGCTACAAGTACGAGGGCAAGAACTGGACGGCCAAATGCAGTGG